GAACGAAAAGTTAGACAATTTCAATCGACTTCCCATTACAGAAAGACCACCACAGATCCCATGATAAACACAGAGAGCAATCACTCGTTCCAATTAATAGGCTCTCACTACAGTTATTCCAATTAATCGTACTCTCGGTACTACAATTATTTCAATCAATAGGCATCTGACAAACTATAATTTCAATTAATCATACTCTCGGTACTACAATTATTTCAATCAATAGGCCATCTCAACAAACTACAATTCGAAATGTCAAAATTTATCCAAAAAAAAAAGGAAAAAAGAAAATACCGAGCTGGTGATGTCGTAAACGATGATGGCAGCAGCAGCGCCTCTGTAGTACATTGGTGCTAAGCTGTGGTACCTCTCCTGCCCAGCAGTATCCCAGATCTCGAATTTCACCGTGGCATTATTCACAGACACCGATTGCGAGAAGAACGCAGCTCCGATCGTCGATTCCTGTCAAATTACACAATTGCCACCGTCAAAACGACGAAAATCCCAAATTGAAAAGTACGGCGTGCAAATGGAGAACCGATTAAGCTCAATTGTTTTGCATGGATTTGAGATCAAAAGAGAAAAAAAAAGGAAAATTTACTTGGAATTCGAGAAATTGGCCCTTCACAAACCGTATCACGAGGCTCGATTTGCCGGCACCCATATCCCCGAGTAAAACCTGAAGATTTTAAAACCCAAAATTAAAATTTCAAAAAAAAAAAATTCGAATTTATGATTAGAATTGGACTGACGAGTTTGGCGTTGAGATTGTTGGGAGCCATATTTGCCATTGAAAAACACTTGCAGCAGCAGGGAGAATGAAGCTGAGAAGGAGGAGGAGAGTAATTCAGAAGAAATTGAAGAAGAAATGTAAATCGGTGTGGTTGGAGTTGGACTTTTCGCACCGACCAAATTACTGGTGACGGGTCATCACCTCCTTTCGAGATTTTGTTTTCTAATTTTTCTTATAAATTAATAATTTTATAAATTACATATACACCCTCTCATAATTAGAACTATGGACAATTAGGTCCCGCAAGGAACAAGTGAGCGTTTGTCAATTGACCCATATTCAAATTCACTTGCCAACGTTTGCTAGATGGAGCTTGTCACATATGGTTAACCTAGTGTGGTATATGTCTCTCGTATAGTTGCAAGCTATTATACGAGAGTGTAGATTTACCCAGTGTACCTATATGGTTGGCTATGTATTCCTTCATTAGAAAAAAAAAAAAAAAAAAACTATGGACAATTAGGGCAATTTGAGAGAACCCTATATCTATTTTCATTTCAATTAAGGTTATGCTCAGACTTGGTTTTGACAGTGCTTTCGTTGATCTGGTGATGTTATGTGTGTGCACTATCACCTACTCTTTTATTCTTAATGGGGATCTTTCGATTTTCTTGCGCTGGAAAGGGGTATTCGACAAGGTGATCCAATTTCACCTTACCTGTTTTTTATTTTGTGCAGAAGCATTGAGTGCTCTGATTAAAAGAGAAGAACGACGTGGCAATATAGCGGGATTGGCTGTTTGCAATGCAACTCCTAAGGTTTCACATTTACTTTTCACCGATGATACTATGCTTTTTTGTAATGCTAATATTTCTTCTGCTGAATGCATTAAGAATATCTTGCAAGAATATGAGCAGGCCTCAGGTCAGATAGTTAATTATGCGAAATCTTGCATTGCTTTTAGTAAGAAGACGACCGTAGATAATATAAATTTGATTTGCTCGAAACTTAATATGGAGGTGGTGGACAAACATGACAAGTATTTAGGCCTACCTTCTGGGTTAGGAAAGTCAAAAGCTAGACCGAGTTTGCCAATGTCTTCAAGGGTGGAAAGAAAAATGACTTTCAAAAGGGGGAAAAGAAATTTTAATTAAAGCGGTGATTCAAGCTATCCCGACATATGCGATCAGTTGCTTTCGACTTCCACGATATTTTACCGAAGAAGTCGAAAGGTTGATGGCTAAGTTTTGGTTGGAAGATAGTCAAGGCAAAGGAGTTCATTAGGCCAGGTGGAAGGAATTGTGTAAAAGCAAGGATTTTGGGGGTCTTGGCTTTCGAGACTTACACGCTTTCAATACGGCGCTATTAGCCAAACAAACCTGGCGGTTGTTGGTATCTCCACATAGCTTACTGGGAAGAATCTGTAAGGCTAGATACCCACATTCAGACATTTTGGGCTCAGTTTTAGGGTCTAATCCGTCATATACGTGGAGAAGTATTTGGGGAGCGATAGAACTAGTGGAGAAAGGCTCACGCTGGAGAATTGAAAATGGGGCGAAAGTGAACATTTGACGAGATAAATGGCTTCCAAGAGAACGAACTTTTAAAATTTTCACTCCTCGAGACAACTGGCCGATTGATATGAAAGATGCAAAGCCTTATTGATGGTAATGCAGGTCTATGGAAAGTTAATATGATTGCATCTATGTTCTACGAGGAGGATCGGAAAAGTATTCTCTCTATACCAATTGGAAGTGCGATTAATGAAGATCGTCTTATATGGAATTACAATAAGAATGGGTTGTTCTCCGTTCGAAGTGCCTGCCATACCGCAGTTCATTTAGAGCAAGAGAAAGCGGGAGTTAATATTGCAAGTGGTTCATCTCTCGTTTCATCGAGTTCTTGGAAATTACTTTGGGACTTGAATTTGCCGAATAAGATCAAGATCTTTTTATAGCGTTGTTGTTATAATCTTCTTCCGACACGCCAAAATCTTACTAATCGGAAGATTTTAGAGAACAATTTATGTGAAATTTGTGGGGCTGCAGGGGTGGATGTTTTGCATTGTTTGTCCTTATGTTCGTATGCGAGGGCGTTAAGTGGAGTGGCATGGTCGATCCATTGGCCGAATAATTGCTCACTTGTGGATTGGTTCTTGCAAATGAAGAAGCAGCTTGATAAAACTGATTTTGAATATTGTGCTGTGGTCTGCTGGGCTATTTGGTATGCAAGAAACAAGAAATACTACGAGGAGGCCAACCATTCGGCTCTTGACATTATCTTGCTCGCAAAGAATTTTCTTAGGGAGATGCGGGGGTCTGTTTCCGAAGTTCTTTGTTCAAAATCTCCGTTAAAGATGGAAAGATCGAGTATCAAGTGGGAGGTTCCATTTAGAGACAAGGTGAAAATTAATGTCGACGCTTCACTCGCTTTGGTGGAAAATGGTTGCGGGCTTGGGGGTTTGGCAAGGACCTCTAATGGAAATTTCTTAGCCAGGTTTTCTACACATTGTCCTCTTTTCATTGATCCTACTTCAGCCGAGGCTATGGCGGATTTCAAAGCTATGGAATTCGCCCAAGACCACCGGTGGAGTAGAGTAGTTCTCGAATGCGATTCTAGCACTATAGTTGCTACTATAGTTGCTGCTATTGCTGGAGAGTTCGGTAGTCGCACGATCTATGGAAATGTTATTGACGATATTAAATGCTTAGCCAGCACGTTTGAAGTGTTCAAGATTCGTCACGTTAAGAGAGAAGCAAACCGCGCAGCCCATGAGATTTCTAGGCTTTCGTCGATAGACTCTTTTATGTTGAAGGTTCTTCCTAGTTTTATTATTGATATTGTAAAATCTGAGTTTCCTCATTAATGCAATTCACGTTTCCTCTAAAAAAAAAGGATCTATGTATTTATTTACCTTTTTTTTACGGGGATATTACTTAGTATCTATTTTACCGAAATACCCTTATATTCGCATTTGAACTAAATTCATTATGTCCAAAATTGGCAATTGTACTCCTATAATGGTTTGCCCCGCTCCAATAATATAGTCGACTAATCCAAGTCAACTGTTACAAACATCTACTATAGATGGTTATCGAATCGAAAAATATCAGCGTATACTCCCCATGTCATATCGTATCGTAAGATATCTAACCAATTATTAAAAATAACAATACACACACACACACACACACATATATATATATATATATATATATATATATATATATATATATATATATATATATATATATATATATATAATAAAAATAATATAAACATGTAAAATTTAATATTTAAAACCCAAGCCACTCATTTTTAAATATATATAAATTCAAATTTTCAACATTGCATTATAAAATAGAATAAAAGTCATAATTGCTCATAAAATAACATCAACAAAGTTCAATTTCGAATCCCTTATTTCTAAAAAAACTAATGTGTCACTCATAAAATCTTCAACATCAATATCACTTAAATCTTCTTCATCGACCAATTTCAAACGATTGTCTTCGTCCCTATGTTCATCAATCTTTTCAACTTCATCAATTCTAACTTTCACTTTTCCCTTTTTTCGACTCTTATCAATCTCAAACGTGGCGTTTAAAATTCTTGGACCTAATATATGTAAGAAAAACATTATTTATTTATATTTTTGGCCAAAAAGTGAGCTTTATTTATATATCTTTGGCCTTACACTGTGCCTCGTTAAAACCTTGTTTGCTTATGTAAGAAAAAAATTAAATAATATTGAATGATAGTATATTTAAAAAAAGAAAATAAATAAAATCAAAATATGCTGACAATGCACAAAGCCCAGTCAAATTCCCAACAAATCGCAAGAATCTATAGAAATTGAGTTAGCTAGGATTGCCATATTATTAGAAAATCTTGGATTTATTGAAAAGATAAAGATGAATTATGGTTATGAATAAACTCCAAAAGTGAAGACTGGACAAGAAGCCGCGAAACACAGCAGTAGAGTAATCCTCTCTGAAAATATCTGCCAAATTGATAGAACGAAGAAAATGACAGGGAGAGAAAATAAATTGCTTTTGTGTAAGTTGTTTTTGTTTTTTTGGGAGAGAGAGTGATGATATGCATGATAAAAAAAGGGAGAGTTGAGAGGGGGAAGGAGAATAGTTAAAAGAATGATAGAGATCAAATATAGAGAAAGTAGAAGATAATGTCGGAACATAATATAAGTTAGAAGACAAGAGTACCACCACCGAGAGATGGAGGAAACTTGGGTGGTGGTCAGAAAATATAGAAAAAGAAAGACATTATAGCAAAGAATATAAGTTTGAAGAGAAGAGTACCACCACCGGGGAAGGGAGAAAATTATGGTGGTGGTCATGTCTCTGAAGAAGATGTAGAAAAAGATAGAGAAGATGCTGGAAAAGATATAACAATCTACTTGATTTAATCATTTAAATCATATCCTTTAACCACGAATAATAATCAAAGACAATCTACTTGATTAAATCCTTGAAATTATATCGTGGACAATCATTTGACTATTGAGACAAGATGTTTACGCAATGTATTAAAAAAAATCCCAAAACTTCTAAACATAATTGTCTTATTTGGTATAATCCACCATCTCACACCAGTCCGTCTTCGACTTCAATTTCATATTCAATGAGTTGAGATTCTCAACATCGCGTAAGACGAAGAGAGATCAACTACTCGCTTCCTCGTGGCTGCAGCCAAGAAATCAAAAGGCCGCCAACAACTCGCCGGAACTAAATGTTGAGAAAATTTAGTGAATTTTCTAAAATGGAGAAATTTTCCAATTTAGCAGGTGAACTGAATCGAAAGTTTCCAATTTTGGAAATTAGAAAACTACAAGTGGCACTCATATTGAAGAGTGTTTTATTCTCGTCGCAAACATATAGTTGTTGTATTTTTCTGAGCAATCGTTTGTTAGAAACATGGCATATGGGGAGATGGGCCTAACAACTTAATAGACCCGGTCCATGACTTAAGGCCACTAGGGTTGAAGAACCCTGGTATAAATATAACTCAAAGAGGAGTTAAAACCCAAAACCCTAGCCGTCCCCATATCCCTCTATGCTGACCCCCGACCTTGCCGCTGTCACCTGTCGCTGCCATCGCGTCGCCCTACCGCTGTCGGTTGCCTCTTTTTCTTCTTGTTTCCTTTTGTTGTACTCTAATATTTTTTGTATCTAGTGTTGCAAAAGAGGTAGATCGAATTATACGACATGAAATCAGATTGAAGGAGAAGATGAACGAAGCACTGCCGCCGGCACGCGTCGTCGCCGCCTGCTGCACGTGCCAACGCCGAACTCCAACTGAGGGTGCTGTTCTGGTCCTTGATGTCCAATGCGCTGCTCCCAAGGTCCGAGTGTCTTCGGCGATCGTTCGATTTCATTTTTGGATTATCAAACTTCAAGGGTAACGATCGGAACTATTTGCACATATTAATGCATATTGTGATGTGTTCTTGATATTTGCAAAATATATTATATGAAATGATTGTACGATTTGATTGTGTACTATTTTTCGATTGGTTAGTAGTAATTTAATTTTGAATTGAATTAATTAATACGCATGTTTGTTCTTGCAGGAGCGATTAAGGTACGCGACTAGTCTATGTGCGCTTATGACATGTTTTATGTAACACTTTTTTGGTGCATATATATGTATCGATTTCCAACATGTCGAAAACTGTTTCATCTTATCTTGTGAGGTTTCCAATAGTACTGTATAATTAGCATAGACACGTTGTACCCCAAGCGTACTCGCTAGTACACTCCAAATCCCCGAAGAGATTCAACAACCCGACGCTGACCATGTTGCCGGTCTTGTCAAAAAATATGGTGCACCCCAATATGGTACGAACATTGGCCTTTAGAGTGTTCTTCGAGGAGACTCATGGACAAGTCACGACACACCTGGTCCTCTAAAGTCAGGGTGATGTCGGGGTCTTAAGGACTAATGGTATACAATTATACTATACAAACCTCTACTCGATAAGTGCGAACCAGTTAGAGTTTTCTAAGGCGAGTTAGTTCAGTGTACTCATATATATGAGCACCCACTCAAGTATGCAAATGTGACAAGACAGATGACTGATCAGACGCAGTACACATAAACTAAGTGCTAGCCTCGAAAGTAAAAAAATGGTATCCTCATTATTGGCGTAACCCATCCACTAGGAACTGGTTTAACAATTACATTACTTTTATTGAATTATCTCACGATACTACTAAATCAATTCAAAGCAATAGAGTAGCTCATTAGAACTATATGTATGCGCTTGCATGGGATAACATATATAGAATTCCCAAAGGTGAATTTAATTAATACAAAATACTTCAGGAAAGACCACAACCTCAAGTTGGTTTGCATGTCACGTACTTTAACAATGGCCTCAATAATAAACAGCATCGGATCACAACTCTCCAATATGGTCGTGTGATTCTGAATTCAAAACTAGTTGTTGCACTCGGGACCTTTGGACAAAATATGATAAACTATGTGCTTATCGAATGCCGGAAACTAATCCAATATTTTAGGTCCTCTTACTTAAGATGGGTCCAGTTGGATGCTCGAACCACCAGCTTTGGTGGTCGATAGGACAGGTAAAGCGGGTAGACTCGGCACTGGATTGTGTATAACGGTCAGTTGAGAAGGACCTCCATCAGGACGTGTACCTTGTCACGGGGCTTTGAAAGGGGCAGACGGATTAGTCTGGGCCTTATTTTTGCCTTCTCCGCAGAGCCTTTTGGACCTTTTTCTTACAGTTTGAAACGATTGGTGGTAGACGAGGTTCCCCTGGAATCAGCAAAATAACTAAATTCATTAAACAATTTTAATAAAATTAGAAAAAGTAAATGAAATAGTCTATTTTCGATAGCTACCTATCGATTTTGGAGTTACTTTCAACAGATTGTTGTCAAATTTTTAGTCATGTTCGGCATGTAGCCGTTGATTTCAGTTTAGAAATGGATGGCAAACCCGTTGATTTTTGAAAATTGACAGGTCGCTGTCGAATATGAGTAAAAAATCGACACATACAGTTCGAAAACAAGTGACGAAACCTCAAACAAAAAACAACCAAATCAAGCGCACCCAACAACAATTAACCATCATTAAATGCTCAACATACATATTTATCTAATGATCATCCTATATTACCTAATTTAACAATCTTTGAAAGCAATTTCAAAGATTATAAAAAAAATTAAAACAACAGGGTTCTTTGTTTGGTTGAGGTTTAGTCACGGTCTTTAGATGGCAGTGGTGGTGGTGTGTATGGCGGTGCGTCGGTCATGGGCGGTGGTGCGGCTCGTCCGTGACTTTAGTAAAAGAAGAAAGTTTTTTTTCTTCTTGGTCTTGAACGAATGAAAATGATGGATTTATTTTTTGTTGTATAAGTTGTATAATTTAGAAGGAGTATTATTGTACTTTCTTGTATTAGCCTAAGATTAAAAATAAAAAAGAAAAATGTGCTAAAATGCGATATTCAACTAATTGGTATTGAACAGTAAATGCATTTGTTTTAGCCGCTCCGTTCCACAAATGCTTACCAGTATCATGTTGGAGTTAGGAATGAGCAGCAATATCCGAAATTGTGATGAGTTAGATAATCTCCCAAATCGCATTTTTATGTTCTCTTGATAGTGTAATATGTGGAATAATATCATCAGATTCAATGTTACATGTGCTTCAAAGGCCCATCCTACGTATTTTCTTGCATCTTCTTGGACTTGTGCAAAATTGATGTCCTTTAAACCTAGTTTGTATTCCCTTCACGAATGTCATCTGCTAGGTAATATCCCATATGATTGTTATTTTCATTAATTGTAAAACCAGGAGCACGTTCTTTTGTTAATACTATGAAGACATGAGATCTTTCAAAAACAATAATATCATTAAGTGAGTTGGGCATTTATAAAAAGGCATGCCATATCCGTATATCTTGTGAAACAATCGCCTCTAATATAATAGTCGTTGCTTGAAAATAACTAGATTACATACTTGTCATGCGGTTGCACAATTTTTTCATTCTCAATACATGCAATCAAAACTTCAAATCATTCCTGAAACTCCATGTTACTCTCTAACTTGGAGAATCGTCATCTATCGTCTGGATTTGATGCTCTTAAATATTGTTCAACATAAATACTAATAATAATAATTTTCTTTTTTGCAAGATGGTGTAAGCTCTCAATAGCAGTGCTTTCACTCATTTCTATGTATTCATCCAACAAATCAGCAGGAACTTCATACATAAGTATTTTGGTATGGAACGATTACTTTTAAAAGAGACGATAAACTAGGCACTTCTGCTTCATTACTTTGTTGAACAAAGTAGTAATTGTATGTTTCGATGCTATAAATAATTCTATAGAAAAGAGATTTTTGTATACGAAATCTTCTTCACAAAAATAACCATGACATACATGATAATCTATAAAAATAATCATGTTAAATTATATTATGTTATTTAGCTCTATTACGATGAATATCTTCTACCAGGAACACGGTGATGCTTATGATGTGTTTCTCTATCAGCTTCCTCCTCTTAAGTTGCTTCTAGGAGCATTTCAATATCGTCAGAATCACAGTTCGTTAAGAAAGCCTCTAAAATGGCGGAATCACGATGCATACTAAAATAACGAGAGGAAAGATGATAAAAACTATAAAGGAATGTGAGTTTTAAAGGATCCAACATAAAAAAATATATTATCTAATGTCTTAACACTTAATCATAATTTGACAAAAATCTTATAGATATGATATCTTATTTAAAGGATCCAACAATTTTGATATCTTATATGTATTGCATGATACCTCTATATGTTGAAAGTGTTAGTTTTACGTTTTTTTTAACGTTTTATTTTAATTAATTAAATTGTGGGTAATTTAATTATGGTATTAAGGTGATTTTATGGTAATTGATTTGTAACGTTGAAGGCAATAAAAGACCATGATGGGTGGGATTTGTCTTCTGCCGTTACAAATCAATCGTGGCCCTCTTCTCTCGTCTATAAAAGAATTCCACAACTATTCTCCTTAACCATCAGACGCAATTGAGAATTCCATCAATTACAGAACATTAGTGAGTTGTGATATTAGAGAGATAGAGAGAAGAAGGTGTGCTACGAATAAGGTTCTTACAAGAAGATTCAGAAGAGGCCTGGCTAGGCTCGGCTTGTAGATTGCTAACATCCTTGTTCATGATCTCTATCGGAATCCATGGCGAACGGTATGTCGATAATCTCTATTATGTGCTTATATTCTTGAGATGAACTTGATTTCAAGATTCTGTGATTAAGGTTTTCCGCATAAAGTTAAATAAAACTCTTTCAATTGGTATCAGAGCTGAGTTTGAAATTGATTCATCTTAGAACTAAAATATGTTATATGTTAATTATACGGTTTTAATGAAATTGAATTGCGATTGTGATTGGTATTTGTGTTTTGATGTTTATAATCTGTTTTGACGGATTGAATTATTATTTGTGGGTGCTCTTCTGCAAAACACTTTTCCTATGAATTGATGTTTTTATGAATGTGTCTGAGATTTTTCTAATGTATATTTTTATTTAATATTTATTGTTATATAATGCATGGATTTGTATATGTATACTGTATGAATTGTCTGTGGACATTATCTGCACACACACGTCTGCTCACATACGTGATATTGCACACACATGAAAAGTATACTTTAATTTATTGTTTAAAAAGAAAAAGTCGTGGGTTTAATATGGTACAGGCTATGGAATATGTGTGTATGGCCAAATACATGTTTGTGTGTATAGTAAATACATGAATTGTATGTATTCTGTGAAGTACATGCATTATTTTAATGTATCTCATATAGTAAATTATTTCTTTTGCAAAATGAATTGTTACTGTTATGATTATTTATTTCATGACTAATTTGCAATTAAAGGTATCACTCAAATTACAATAACGAGAATATTATTAGTTTTATATTTATGAAATTTACTAATCTTGTAGTTGCTAAAGTGACCTAAATTAGTAAAATCTAATAAATATAAGAACTATATGAAAGTTTAATCATTTACATGATATTAAAGATTATAATATTCTCAAATTGCAGTCATAATTAAGAAATTGAGACTAGCTCAAAGGATAGTCGATTTTAATTAATTATGAACTAGGTAGGGTATCATAATTTGTATTACTTAGCAATTAGAATTGTTTACCTAAAGGTAACATGACTAATTGACGAGTGAGATAAATTATGTTAGACTCTACTTATGTGTTATAAAAGATTATTTACACCAACGTAGAGTGAACAATAGATATACTGTATTTCACCCAAAGGAGAACTTGTAGTGATATCGATAGTTCATCTTATTTCACTCAAGGTCTTATGTGAGCATCCTTTTATCTTTACCTTATTATATTTGCTATATTTATTTCAGTTGCTATTCCCACTTCAATGTACTCGCATGCTTCTGGTATTAAGACTCTCAGTGGGTCAAATTTCTTCGAATGGTATGAACAAATTCAATTCACCTTGGGTGATATGGATTTGGACCTTGCATTGCTTACTGAAAAACCTGGGGAAATAACGGATGCTAACAGTGAGAAAGAAGTTAGCCTAATTGAAGCCTGGACCAAGTTCAATAGGCTTAGTCTTATGCTTATTAGAATGACTGTTGCTAATAATATTAAGACTTCTCTTCCCGAGGTTGACAATGCTATGGAACTGTTAACGGCTATTAAAGAACGCTTTAAATCAGCGGACAAGTCGTTAGCAGGGACACTCATGGCTGAATTGACTACCATGAAATATGGTGGTGATAAGGGAATTCAGGAACACTCCTGAATATGACTGATAAGGCTGCCAAACTTGGAGCTCTTAGCATGAAAGTGGAAGAGTCCTTCCTTGTGCAATTTATCCTTAACTCACTTCCATCCAAGTTCGGCACATTCAAAATCCACTATAATACTCAAAAAGATAAGTGGAATTTGAAAGAGCTGACTAGTATATGTATTCAAGAGGAAGTGAGATTAAAGCAGGAATGAAATCACTTTGCATTGGTTGTAACTCATGGAAGTATGAAGAATAAAGGGAAATTTGTGAAGAGTGGAAATAAATTCACACCAAACAAAAGATATGAACCTGGTGAAAGTAGTCAGGGTCATGGAAAGGCTTTTGTTGTCACCTGTTACTTTTGTAACAAAAGGGGACACGTAAAGAAGGACTGTGATAAACGTAAGGCTTGGTTCGAAAATAAAGCTATCCATCTTTCTTTTGTATGTTATGAATCAAATCTTATTGAAGTTCATTCTTACACTTGGTGGCTTGATTCTGGTGCTACAACTCATATCACAAATTCATTACAGGGATTCCTTACACTCGGAAACTGGAGGAAAGTGAAAAGTACATCTATATGGAGAACCGTCTCAAATCTAAGGTGGCGTTTTTTGGCACTTATCGCCTCATATTAGATACGGGTCATAAGATGGATATTGGAAACATTTTTTATGTACCTTCGTTTTCTATGAATTTGGTTTCTTTGTCAAAACTGGATGTTTGTGGTTATTCAACTTTAATTGGTTGTGGAAAACTCAGTTTTATGTTTAATACAATAATAATTGGTTCCGGTATTTTATGTGATAGTTTATATAAAATATCTTTGAATCATGAGTTTGAACAATCATTGTTAACCACTCATTCGGAATTTGGCGTAAAGCGAAGCCTAAATAACGAAAATTCTTCAATATTGTGGCATAAACGATTGGGGGCATATCTCCAAGGAAAGAATCGAAAGATTGGTAAAAACTGGAATTTTCGAAAATCTAGACTTTACTGATTTTCGAATGTGTGTGGATTGCATTAAGGGTAAGCAAACGAAACACAATAAAAGAGGTGCCACAAGAAGTAAAGAGCTTCTCGAGTTAATCCATACAAATATCTGCTCACTACATATTCCATGTTTTAGTGGAGAAAAGTATTTTATCACCTTCATTGATGATCTATCTCGTTATGGTTATCTAATTCCTGAAAAATCTCAATCCGTTGACATGCTTGAGGTGTTTGTTACGGAAGTCGAAAGACAATTAGATAGAAAAATTGAAGTTATACGATCAGATCGGGGTGGAGAATACTATGGTAGATATGATGAGTCGGGACAAATCCTGGCCCATTTGCTAAATTGTTAGAAAAACGTGGTATTTGTGCTCAATACACAATGCCTGGAACACCACAGCAGAATGGAGTTGCTGAACGTCGTAATCATACTCTTATGGATATGGTTAGGAGTATGTTAAGTAATTCAACTGTACCCATTTCACTTTGGAATGAAACCTTGAAAACCGCTATGTATATCTTAAACCGGGTTCCCAGTAAGGCAGTCCCAACAACTCCCTACGAGTTGTGGACTGGTAGGAAACCTAGTTTAAGACATTTACATGTTTGGGGTTGTCCTGCAGAGGCTAGAATATACAATCCAAATGAAAAAAAATTGGACCATAGAACAATTTCTGGATATTTTATAGGTTATCCACTAAAGTAAAAAGGGTGCATATTTTATTGTCCTAACCATACTACGAGGATAGTTGAAACTGAAAACGCCAAATTCTTAGAGAATGGTGAAGTTAGTGGGAGTGTTGAATCAAGAAAGGTAGAATTTGAGGAAATTATGGTGGATATTTTACCATCTTATTTTCCTCAAGATAAAGTTAATCTTCAACCTAAAAACAAATGATTCACCACTCAATTCACCACTCCATGAAGATGTCATCATTGGCAATACTGTAGAACGACCACAACCGGTAGCTTTGAGGAAATCTCAAAGGGAAAGAAAATATGCCATATCCGATGATTATGTGGTTGATTTTGATTTGGTATTCAAAATGATCCAGTTTCATACTACCAAGTCATGAAAAGTAAAGATTCTAGTAAATGGATTGATGCTATGAATGAAGAGTTGAAATCAATGGACTATAACGGTGTTTGGGATCTTGTCGAATTGCCTAAGAACAGTAAGAAAGTCAATTGTAGATGGGTCTTTAAGACCAAATGTGACTCTAAGGGCAATATCGAAAGATTTAAAGCCAGACTAGTGACCAAAGATTTCACTCAAAAAGAAGGCATTGATTATACATAAACTTTCTCTCCAATATCTAAGAAAGACTCCCTTAGAATTGTTATGGCTCTTGTAGCTCATTATGATTTGGAGTTGCACCAAATGGACGTGAAAACCGCTTTTCTGAATGGGGATTTAGATGAAGATATCTATATGGATCAGCCTGAAGGATTTGCAAAACAAGGAAAGGAACACTTGGCTTGTAAATTAAAGAAATCCATATATGGACTTAAACAAGCTTCTAGAGAATGGTATATAAAATTCAATGATACCATTACTTCCTTTGGATTTAAGGAAAACACTGTTGATCAGTGTATATATCTAAAGGTCGGTGGATGCAAGTTTATCTTTTTAGTCTTGTATGTGGATGATATTTTACTAGCAAGTAGTGATCTTGGTTTACTTCACGAAACCAAGAATTATCTTTCAAAGAATTTTAAGATGGTTGATATGGGTGAGGCAAATTATGTTATTGGGATAGAGATCTTTAGAGATCGACCTCGAGGATTGTTAGGCTTGTCTCAGAAAGGATATATCAATCGAGTTCTTGAAAGATTTAATATGCAGTTTTGTTCAGTCATTAATGCTCCTTTCACGAAAGGTGATAAATTAAATGAAAAACAATGTCCAAAGAATGATTTGGAAAATGAGAAAATGAAATTGATTCCATATGCATCAGCAGTTGGAAGTCTGATGTATGCACAAACGTGTACTAGACCAGATATTAGTTATGCAGTGGGAGTACTTGGTAGATATCAAAGTAATCCGAGAATAGATCATTGGAAATGAGCAAAGAAGGTTATGAGGTATCTTCAAGGAACAAAGGATTACATGCTTACTTATAGGAGATCCGACCAATTAGAGGTTATTGGTTATTCAGACTCCGATTTTGCTGGTTGTTTAGATAGTAGAAAGTCAACATCGGGCTTTGTATTTCTACTAGCTGGTGGAGCAATCTCATGGAAGAGTGTAAAGCAAAGTATTATTGCTTCTTCCACAATGGAGGCTGAGTTTGTAGCATGTTTTGAGGCCTCGAGTCATGTACTATGGTTGCGAAATTTTATCTTAGGGCTTAAGGCTGTTGACTCAATTGCTAAGTCTTTGAAGATATATCGTGATAACACTGCAACCGTTTTATTCTCTACGAATGGAAATTATTCAAGTGGATCCAAGCACATGGATCTTAAGTACTTGGTTGTTAAAGAAAGAGTCCAGAAACAACAAGTGTCAATAGAAAATTTAAGTACAACTCTTATGGTTGCTGATCCATTAACCAAGGGATTGCATATAAAGATATATGAGGAACATGTTGATACGCGTAAAACCTACGTATGAAAAACCGCAAGTGTACAGTATCGCGTTTTGTAGAATAGTGAATTCCAGATATCGATCCACAGGGAATTAAGTTCCTAAATCTACCAAGTACCGTAATTATACTATCCTAAACTTTATCTAGACGGGAGAAAAAGATGGGAGATGACATGAAGGCAAAAGGAAACAAAAATAATAAAAACAACGGTCCGCCAGGATAAGCGAGGAATTCCGACGTGTGATGGCTTCTAGGGTAAAATCCACCAGTGTACTATCGATAAAGATCTACAGATCCAAATCTAATGTCAATTCTATGTTCGCTAACCCAGACACTAAAGTACCCTAACCCCCGTCTCCAGTGTAGTTAGAGTCTACCCACAGGTCCGACGTCTCCGTTCAGAACCTGATATTAAGAGAGCATTTAGGTCAAGTCCTTAAGGGCTACCCGAGGTGCATCACGTCTCCGTTTCCACAACCCGAGCTATGCTTTCCTAAAATCAAACGAGAAATCCTCTCTCGAGTTCATTCCCATTTAGAATCAATTCAATTGTTGGCCAAACAATCGAAAGCATTTAATACAGGAAAACATAAACAAAATCAAAGAACGACAAATAGATCACAGATCTGGAAATCAAAATCAATATATACAAGGTTTCATTTCCCTAAAAGAAAATGCTCAGTTCATTACAAACATAGCATCAAAATGAAGAACACGAGAAATCATAAACTAAACGTAAAGAAAAGCTTATGAAAAACCCGAGTCGAAACCCTCGTCGAAGCTTCCCGCGAAGAACTGGCGAGAACCGAAGAGAAACCGAAGAAGAGGTCGAGAAGATAATCGAGATATCGAAAAATGAAAAAGAGACCTTCTATTTATAGTGAAAAATCAAAGAAAAATATCTAGACTCGATTTCTGTGCCCAGATCGCGATCTGGGCTTCTTGGATCGCGATCTGGCAACCTCGAAAACTACCCACCGCCTTCCAGATCGCGATCCAGGAAGTGCGGATCGCGATCTGCCCCAACTTTCCGCTGCTACTGGAATTTGCCACCAGATCGCGATCCGGTGTTTCTGGATCGCGATCTGGCCTCTGCATCAACTTCAAACACTATTTTCACCCATTTTCAGCACGAATTCGACAATTGTGCATTTCACAAAAGTTGTAGCCCTTGAAGTTAGCTTTCTAAATCCACTTGAATCAGCCCAATCGGAGGTCGTATGAGAAAGTTATGCTTTAAATACCAAACACTGCCACAATCCGCGAGAATGCACTTTTGCACGTGTTTGGTTTGGTTCTCGGCTTCGCTTCCAAAATCGTCTCGAATCGGCAAAAATAGCTTATCTTTACCTAAAATATAAATAAAACAAAAAAAACATAATATATACAAATAAAGCCGAAAACTCGGACGAACGAAGACCAAAA